TCGATGAACTAAGGTTAGGGTTCATAGAACTGTTTTGTAGTACAGGAATGAAGTTGTATACACTTAAATATTATAATTCTTGAGTGTTCATATTCTCTAAATGAGCAGAGTGCAATTCGCGTCAGTGTGGGCCAATAAGAGTGTCGTAGCTCTAACAAAACACTGAACTACCCTCTGGTGTCTCAAGGACAAAGCACAAACACATCAATGAAGCCTCGTTAACGTCGACCTTCTTAAGGCATCCTCTAACTAACATTATAGCTCGTATAATGCACTGGTAGCCTTAAGTATCCCCCGACCACGATACACACAACACCGAGAAGAAGTTTATGGGACAATCTGGGCAGCAGAGACGGCTGGCGATGCTCACACTTCTGCAGATCCTATTATGTCCGAGCATGACATCAGCGGTACAGTCACCACAGCCTCATACTAACATGGCCTCTATTACCTCTCCCTCCCCCTTCATCACCCGCCACATGGACGTTAACTCACAAGGGTCAATGATCATACATCTGACGCCATGATTAATAATAATACAATTCAAATAATAACTGATCACAAGATAAATTTAGAATCACACACACACTTATCACCTCACTCAGGGCCCTCTATCCTCTCATTCAGTATATATCATCATCATCTACACAGACGTAGTTGAAGAATTAGCATCAACAAGGATCACAATGCCGATAGTTACACGCAATGCTTCATGACTTCATTTTTAAATATCGAAATTGAAATTGGTGGGTTAGGTAAAGTTAGGATGTTTAATCCTCAAGAGAAAGAGGGGAGGCATAATCTTCATTCGTTAACGAAACTGAAAGTTTATTCAACCATAATAGTACAAATACAACGCCAACAACAAAAATTACATGGCTGAGGCTTTCGGGTACTGCACGTAATTACATAGTTACCACATGTTTACACTTTGTTCTATTTAATAGTTTATCATTTTTGACCCGGGCACAGTTTTGTAAACAAACACACAAAACGGACCTGATACGGCTGGTTATTATCCCTTCTGACCATGTCACTAGGAGCCGAGACCTTCCATAACACTGGACGGCCAGCACGCGCGCGCGCGCACACAGTTATTCATGCGAAAGTTGATCTTGTGGCCTTCTGTGTTTACTGGTGTGAGTCATGGAGGTGCCACTGGTCTCTGGCACCCCCTCCCCCCACACTGCCACCATAAACTCACTTCAACAACCTACCTCTTACTTTAGTTTGTTCTGGACGCAGGCATCAAAGGCGCGCGCGTGTACCCAAACCTTTATCCATTTGATAGGCAATAATTGGCACTAAATAGGCCACAATACATGCTTACAGCATAATTATACTCAAGGTTTTGTAATAACAGACAACTTTATATTCATACATCCCGCACTACACCCAGGAGACCCTTCACCGTCAAAGACTTACACTACCACATTACGATACTGTACACATATTCGCGTCTATGATTATCGTGTTCCCTTAAAACTTTAACTAAATATTTCACCAAAATCACTAATATCAGAGCTGATACGTTTGAGAGATGGACACTTGGTGTCCAATTATACTCAGTAGAAAATGACCTGACCCGCTAATATACATTGATCCTGAATGGAGTTTATGTATTATTATTAAGACTCATTGTCAGTATTGTTTTTAATTATTACAGATAAATTAAATTACAGACAAAGTAAAGATTAAACACTGGTCATCACGAGTCTTCAAGAACGACCGTGAGTCAATTAGCAAGAGCCACAGTTGACAGCAAGCATGTGACCTTTACACGTGGCAGCCATCCCTCCCTCCGTCCCTCACAGTGCCAGCATCATCCTCCCACCCGTCCTGCATCCTAGCCCACACTGCTGGTCCTCACAACACACCATCCGCCCTTCTAATTACCCGAATACTAGTTTCCTGCCGCTTAGCCTACCCGTCCAGTCCAGCTGTTGACTCAACACTCACAAAATCGAGAAAAACCCCAAATCTTGCCTTTAATCTTGAGCTCTCAGAGAAGGTGGTTGGTGGCAACTCGACTAAGCTTATAACCACACCATCTCAATTTCTGGTTAAAATCAACTTACGTCATGAAGAGTCAAGCGGATTACCCAAACTTTAGCCCATAAACTTTTTTTTTTAAGATACTTGTAAACGTGTGACTGGAGAGACTGAGAGAGGCTAACTCGTATGATGATTCAGAACGACTTTTAACTACTGGTTGTATACTTGTACTAGTGACACAGGAAAATAAACCTCTACACAACCCTGAACACAACAAATCCTTACACAATGTTAACTCAATGATTATGATAATCTTGGGATATTACTGTTTATACTATAATTATGAGAGAGAAAATTGCCAGTAACAAAAGAGAGTTTCAACAATGGCGATGTTACATATATCTGGAGACATTATCATTTGGGGATCACGTAAAGATTAGGTACCTCAGATTATTTCGCCTGGAGATTAACCACCCAAACCTAACCTAACCCCCAGGTAACGTTAGGAAGTTTAATAATCCGGTGAAATAAGCTAGGATGTGTAATGTTAACGTGATCTACTTTTCGACTAAAGATACTTAAAAGCCATCATCATTCAGAACCACGAAACTTGACGGTGTTTGGGGGCGACAGAACAATAAAGAGACTAAGCCATAGACACTCTTATTTACTCCCAACACAAAGATCCATAATGACTAATGTTATGAACGAGTGACAATTACGTTGGAGAAAATACTTGACTCGGTAATGTGGGCGGTAGTGTCGATCCTCTCTCTCTCACACTACACGACACTGTTCCCACCACACCAACTGCTTCCTTTGTCACTCCCCCTTCTCACCTCACCGGGGCAGCCCCTCCAAGCCTCACCCTTGTTTCCGCTCCCGTTACCCACATACCCCTCACACCCGTCATATTCTCTACCCCACCTCCCTCTTCCTTGCCCAACTCCTTACTTCTCAGACTGAAGTTCCCGATTTCCCAGACTAAGTCTCTCTCTCTCTCCGTCATTATAACATTAATTTATTCGCATCAACTGAAGATTACCCACCAGCTTATTACACCAAAGGATTAACTCACCTTACTATACATAGCGTAACCTAAACTGACCTGACCTGTACAATTTTACCGCGTATATTCTCATTTATTACTAAACAGTAAAACTGACTTTACATTGCTTCAATTACCCGACTAGCGTCAGTAAGTCTGCACGATGTCATCAAAATTACCCAAAATTTCATGGGACACAACTAGTAATTATAAAAGGTCACCCAGCTATGAGAAGTTCAAGGCGAGGCTGAAGGAGGCCAAGGAGGAGGAGGAGTAGTAGTTTCAAGTTATCTTCTAGTTAAAGGAGGTTCAAGGTGAAGGTGGAGGGGTGAGGGAGGAAGGACATGCTGTACCTTCCAGTTAAAAGAGGTTCAAGGTGAGGCTGACGGAGGGAGAGAGGGAGGAAGGAGTCACAGGAGAGGTGTCTTCCAGCAACTAGAGGTTCAAGGTGCGGTGAGGGCGGGGTGTGTTGTGGGGAAGCATCTGCCGTCAACATATTCAGAGTATATGGGGCAGCGTGAGCATCTGGCAGGGGTTTATCACGCTATACTGTACTGTGAGGGAGGTGAAGGAGGTTCTCACACGCACGCAGCCTCAATATTACCATAACACTGAAGATTCTCGAAGAAGGAAGAGAGAGAGAGAGAGAGGGGGGGGGGCTAAAAGGTGAGGGAAGGAAAGATAAACATCAGGTGTGTCATGACAGACAATAACTTGGGGTAAAAAATATAAAAAGAAGGCCACAGCCAGACACCTTGTATTAAGACAAATGACGCGTCCTGCCACCACCACTATTACACAACAAGTGTCAAAATGTATCAATGCGAGTGTTCAACACAAGTCCAACTGGGTGCATTTACACATTTACAGAGCACACACACACACACACACACACACAAACTGCAAGTCCTCGCCGTCAACTAATTAACTTCTACAAATTGTGATGGTTGTTAAGGAAGCCCAAAGTTAAGGCAGTCTAGTCGAAAGGTCGAGTCACAGAGTCCACCAAAAGAGCAGAAGACTATTGAGCTGCAGCGGCCACCAGTGAGAGACGACGTTCTTGTACCATTACTCACACGAAGGCTGGGGAAAAATTCCTAAATGGTCGCATTAAGCTTGTCTGAATTAATAAGGCAGCAGGTAAAGATGCTCATCAGCTGGTGTAATCCCCTCCCTCCGCCCTCTACAACACAGGCAACTTCCTTATAATGGCAACATATCATGCTTAACATTGTGTTCTGAAAAAAAATTCCAGTTCATTAATTTCCTCCCAACAAATAAAGGTCCATTTGGGTCACATATATTTATGAATATTAATCCAAACTAATGGGAGACTTTGACAACCCCTTCACGAGTGTAGTGGTGGGAGCCATGGACGAGGCTCCCACCACAGGCTCCCTCGTATAAACAACGAATTTTATTCACTACACAAGAGGAATTTTAAACATTATTTTTATTTATATAGATGACTTATTATAACAATCTTTTATGATATCTCGCCAAGTTTAATAAAAAAAAATCTTGAAACAACATCAGATCTGGTTAAAGAATTCCCTTAATACGTTGAATAAATGAGGCATTAAAGTTAAATTCTTCATACAAATATAGCACACCCACAGTGCGTTCTCAAACTTTGAGGATATTTCATTCCACCATTGAAGTTATAGATAGATATCAAAATAATGGAGTTACTGTAAAACAATATATATATATATATATATATATATATATATATATATATATATATATATATATATATATATATATATATATATATATATATATATAAAGGTCGAAAGATACAAACCAATTGTTGAAGGTTATAGTAAAATGTATTTCAAAATACCGAGGACTGACTTACACACTAAAATACACTCAGATTAAAAACTTTTCAACTGCGGTATGAGGTAGTCAGGTAGGAGTCGCAGGAGTGTGCGGCAACAGTGAAGGAACTTACCTTGATGTTAGTGATGGAGACGCTGTTGTCTTGTACATGGACCACGTGACGCCCTCCTGTTGACGTCTCCCTGAAACACAACATAGTCATCACCTTAAAATTTATCCTTATATATATACACATATATATATATATATATATATATATATATATATATATATATATATATATATATATATCAGTATGTACTTTTCCTTATACATTCTAATTTTAAAGAGAGATGAAATTCGGCAGGGAGGTGCAGATGGACTAGGCCAGGGGATGGTCGCGCACAATTTCCTGTCCTTCTATGAGGGGCTGGTCGGGTGTATTTCCACAGGTTTAAAGATAAGTGCTGAAATTTGGTTGCGATTTTCGGGTGGATTGGGGCCCTCTACGGGACGATCGTGCACTATCCCTTACCCCGCCACGCAGTGAAGCCTGGTAAGTCGACAAATACAACGGTATTAAAACTAAAAAATCTCGCTACTCTAAAATACCTCAGCACTTTTTTCTTACATTTCATCACTATTGCTTTAATATATCACCACAAACACTTTAATATCTCAGCAGTAACACTCCTCTTTACTCATAAAATTTACCTAATAACACTTTCATATCATAGTACTTCCCTCTACTCTCAAATATCTCGGGAGTAACACTAATATCTCGATCCCTAACCAACTAAAAACTACTAATATTGACTCCCAAACAACTTGGGTAAACAAATAAAGAGATGTCGCATGCAGATCAGCTTGGAAAACAAACCTGCATCTTAGATGATGGATGATGTTAAAACAGAGCTCCCAAAACTCCCAGACTATTTGACACAACGGTAGACAATAAACCCAGAAAATAAAACCCCAGCAAGATGGTCAAATAATGATATGACTCGGTTATTGAGCTTAAAATGGTGTATGTTATTACCCAGTTTAATGTCGCCATCACACGACCAGACGCGAAAACGTGATATAATGACTGTGTGCGTGTGTGTGTGTGTATGTATTAAACTCCATTATCGGTTGTTTAATATCTGAAGATGATCAGTGACCGCGCACACCAGATGAACGTTATGAATGACGCGGGTCAACACGGACATGACGTCTTGTCAACACCCAGGCGGCAACCTTCAGCCAACACCATGAACCATTCTCGACAAAACAAAACAACTTATACTGGAGGAATGACGCCTACACACATACACAAAAGAGTTAAGGCCACAAGTAAAATATCCACAAAATCACTCACACTATCAACAGGTTGTACGCAATGTGCAAAATAAACCGAAACATCCACACTGATTCACATGGTTTCATACTAATTCACTGTGCATACTAAACTGAATCGTCATTTTAACAACAAACCATATAACACAATAAATAGTTATATATCTTATTACTGGAGACCTTAAAACATTCTCTGAGTCTATCCGATGGAGCATTGGTCTACACGCGAGTCAGTATATCGCGAGTCGACCAATGTGATAACAGGAAACTTAGGGAGTCTACTAGTGAAGGCGTCACGTAGGGAAACACCTCTCAGACGAGGGATTTATGACAGTAACTTGAGATAAAGATTATAGTCAAGGTCTTCATAATGTTAGTGTTAAGTATTTTGTTCTAGACACCGAGAAAGAATATACCATTAAATTCTCATAAGCTAAAGGCATCTATTGTCAGTTTTGCGTTCTAGTTTAGTATTTACCATAAGTAATTTATATTAATTGTTTAGAACTTTGTTTACATAATTTACATGAGGTTTTAGAAGCTATGTTCTCAAAAGTTTAGCGCTCAATTCCAAGTGTTCACCTTTCACTAGGGTTGCCATACGTCCGTATTTTCCCGGACATGTCTTCCTTTTAGGTCTCGAAATCTTCATCCGGAAGTAATTCTGAAAATCCTTCAAAAGTCCGGAATTTCAGCTTCCATCATTTTCTCCACGGAAAAAGCATGAAACCGTAATGACAAGAGAGAGGGGGGGGGGGTGGAAACCGTAGGGATCTCGTTCAGTTTTCTTCAGCTAAGTCACGTGTACGCCTGTACGGTGTTGTCAACTTAGCTGTCAAATATTTGAATGAGAAGGGGGTAGAAGTTGATGATGTGAAGTGTTTTGACCAAGTTAATAACCTGAAGCAGTTTGTGGAAAATTACAAGTGGTGAAGAATTTAGGAATCTGCCAACACAAAAAGTGGACCAGATACTTTTAAAAATCAAAGAACATTGAATGCCACTCAGAATTGCTAAGAATTGCACAATTCTTCTTTGCTATATCATCTCACAATGCAAATGTAGAAAGAGTTTTTCACTGATGCAAAGTCAATGGACAAAGAAAAGGAACAAATTGAGTGTTGAAACAATGAAAGGCATTCTGGCTGTACAGTACAACTTCCGAGAAACATCTTGCAGTGACTTCTATACCTCTCCAAAGAGCAATCAGCCAATACTGAAAAAGATCCGATCTACAGAAAAGTATGCATGGGCACATCAAGTCACACACACACAGTGGGGGAAGAAGACTGCAGCTAAGGGAGTGAAGATATTCAGCCTTAAGCAAAGGTAATTTTTTGTTATTATTTTTAAGATTTCTATACCATGTATGTTGTATATTAGCCTACATTAAAAACACAATGCAATCCAGGACACCGATATATATATATATATATATATATATATATATATATATATATATATATATATATATATATATATTATAACCAGCTATGCAAATCTGCAAAATTAATTGTCACGGCTGCTTCAAGGTTACATAGCGCCAAAGTGTGAGTCGGGCGGGAGGGGGGGGGGGAGGAGCAGAATGTCTTTGGGAACGTCCTCTTTTTTTAATGTTCAGATGTGGCAACCCTACCTTTCACGTATCTGAATTTTAATTTCAGGTACTGTACAATTTCCAGTTTTGGGTGTCTAGCCATTAATAGCAAGTTTTATGTCCAGCTTTTAATTTCTAAGTTTTTTTATCACAAGAACATGTAGATCATACTGTACATCACAGTCGCAATTATTTCCAGAATTAATCCTATAACAAGACCCAGAAATCAGAGCGGCTTCAACAACCACTGGTAGTTCAACAAAACATGAGGAAACAACATTACACTTATTAATCAAAACCAAGTAAATGTGTTTGTAAAACGGCGTGATCTTGATACACAGCTATGGAGGTAATCGATAATTTTTAAGGCAGTAATGTGACAGACCAGAGGTTATAATACGGACTAAAAAAAAAGAAAAAAGCTTAATGATTTTGTCAGACCTACCACTAAGTATGATCAATTATCTTTATTTTTCCTTATATCTTGCGAATCAGCTAATGGATCAAAATTAAATATTCAATCAACAATGTAACTTACTGTACAGTATATCAAAGAGTTGTCATGGCCTGCAGGGGATGACTTTCACACCTAGCTTGTGACAGCTACCAACACAAACACTTTCTTGTGGCCGGACTGTCAACTCCACCACACCAGCACCGAAACAATACTGACAACAAACAAATGGACGCAACCTCACTCAATAGATAAATGCCCCATTTAATACTAGTAATTCTAGTCTCCACTGCAACTCGTTCCACTATTCAAACAAAACTAAAACCAGACAAATGGAGACGATTCTTGTTTCATTTTCTATACAAGTAATAAAATAATTATACTGGTTATAATATATATATATATATATATATATATATATATATATATGTAAGTAATGATATTACATATTATATATATATATATATATATATATATATATATATATATATATATATATATATATATATATATATATATATAACCAAAAGGTAAATGAACTTGAGGAAAATATGAAAAATATGCAAAGACAATAAAAAATAAATGTAACCGCAAGAAAACACATACGATTTGCAGAGAACAATGAGCAGTGGATACGCAACTTGTAGCTGAACCTGGCGCACGCTCGCCCCACAAGGGGTCACAGCTCAAGATTGATGAAGCAGCAAGTCCAGAAAACTGTTGAGGGCAAACTTTTTCGGAGCGAGAGTTGTGAACCCTTGGAACAATCTGCCAGAAAATGTTGTGGCGGCACCGAGTGTGAGTTCTTTCAAGACCAGACTTGACCAACACTGGAGCAGGTTCAGGTACATTCAGGAGCCGGTGCATGCCCAGTACCTGCCAACATTGTGTAACAGAGACGTGACCGATCGCCCAAGCGGCTAACGAGCCGATCAGTGGTGAAGAGGATAAAAGTAAAAGAGAAACATGGTATACTTTTCCAGCTACGCAACACAGCAGTGACTGGCAGGGTATGTCAACAAAATAAGAGCCGTCAGTGGAAGTCACGCACACACACTCGCCTTATACGTATCCCAGGTCAACCTGGCATAGATTGAGTTACTGTAGTTTGTCTTATTTTATTATGGCCATTCATTTATGTATGATGCTTGTCCTGAATTTACACACACACTCAGGTCCTGAAAAAAAGTGCACACACACCCCCCCATTCATTCCTCGTCATTCATCACTCAAAATATATTATTCTTTCATCTACGATGCTGGTACAGTACTTCACTTCCACATTAAAGCTGATATGATCTTTTATCTTATATTAATAATTTTATAACGTAGTGTCAAAAATCGAAACTACCGACAGTAGTTAACAAAAAAAACTGTCAATTTTATAAAATACACATTTAATTCTTAATAGAGCCACTTTTTACATATTTCTAGCTCTGATTAAAATTTAGTTCTGCTTAGACTTAGAGTATGCATATCATCGACGCTTATTTGCTCTCACATTTCTATCTCAATTTTTAGCTTTGTACTAGTGCAAATAACCTTGCTGCGCGCTTAAAGACCTTCGTTGTTGAAGGGCATCAATAACATTATAACAATTGCCTGCTCTAACTAGACCTGTGAACAGATGAAGGAAAACTCACAGGAAAGTCACAAACCTAACCTTACTTAAAATAGTTTATGTCAAATTGTGACGATTTCCTGGTCAAAAGTGTTACTTTTTCCTGACACATGGAATTCGGATTCAATGAAACGAACATAAAAGAACCTATAAATATGACGCACTAGGATGGTACCGGGACAAAATTCTGTCAAACAATTTCTCAACATGAAAATCCCACTAACTCCAGTTATATTTTAAGTCCTAATACTATATTAGATTAGATTGCTTCTATGGGATGGCAGGATTTTGACCTGCAGCGGCTAAAGTACTACAGGCACCGACCTGTTTACTTAAGTGTCTGAGGCTGCAACCTCCAGTAAGCAGGTTGACCTAAGGTGCGGCAATTGTGCCTAATTGGCTACTTGAAGACAGAGAGTGCTAATTATGAAGGTTATTATCCCAGAGTGCTACCCTGGTGGTCTAGGATCAAAAGCCTTTATCAAATTGATTGTAACATGTTTCGTGACAACTTAAACACGTGTTATCCATATAGCACCTTTGATAAATATCACCCTCCCTTCCAAATAAAAGGCGTTTATTGTAAGGCGTTTTCGATGCACGGAATAGCTAACGCGTTAGCAATTCTGTATGCGCAGACGCTGCCTTTGAGTTGTGCGCAAGACACGTTCAAAGGGAAAAGTTAATGCCTCGATCAGGCGTTAGCCTTTTGCAGTGCCCAAGCGGCCCAAATAGCTAAACAACCAATCAGCGATTTCTCCCACTGAAAATACTCGGATCATGGTCGCTTATGGAGAATATTTTGATTAATATTGAAGAGTTGGGGGCATGTCAAATAACAGTTCTCCTAATTTTATTGTTTTCTGAAGACTGTTGTACAACAGTTATTTCCAAGACGCGGTACAATGTTGTATTTTTAATGACAGTCCGGGAATGCTTACGCGTTAGCTATTCCGTGCATCTTAAAACGCCTTACAATAAACGCCTTCAGTGACTGCCGACACTAGGAAAATATTAAACTACAAACTGTGCATAACGTAAAGCTGCGGGTTATTATTATATGTTGAAGAAAAGACACGTGCTGGACATGGGAGTTTTAACGTGAAGTGCAAGTAATAGTAAAGGATATTCAAATGAGTACTTTTAACGAGCTGGAGAAGTGCAAATAAGACCACAGCGCCTGGGGTGACTTTCATAGGACTCAACGTTAATATAATAGTGTAAGGGATCCTCCTAATGATAAATTTTAAGATTCGTAAAATAAATTTTTATCAGTATTTAATACAACTGATACTGAGGAGAAGGGCACGGATACCGCGACCTGAAGTGTAAATTTCAAGTTTGTTGCCACATAATAATGGCAACATGAGAAACAAACAGGTACTTTTGAAACCAAAATTCCAACAGACTAGTGTTGTATTTTTTTTAATTCGGTAACTTGAATTAAGTACCGTCCACAAAATTATAATTTTCTGCACTAGACAACAAAACTTAATACATTAATTAGACTATTTTGTTCCTGTGCTTCAAGATTGCGTAATAAGCATTTACATTTTTACTGAAACCTTCCTACTTGATTTGCAGCCGATAAAATTCCTCTACTGCACCAAGAGAATATATTTGAACCGTTGTGAATTTCATTCGCGATCAAAATCGCTTTGTATTTTGTGTCACAGCTTAAGGTTGAAGAAGCCACAAGTTCAAAAAATTGTTAGGCCCAACTTTTACAGAGTGAAGGTTACGAGCTGAGCTCTTGGAATAATCTGCCAGAGAACGTTCTGACGGCACCGACTGTGAGCTAATTCAAGACCGGACTTGACCAACACTGGCGCAGGTACATATACTGTACATTCTGGAATCAATAATACATGTCCAGTACTTGCCAACAGTGCATAACAGAGACGTAACTGATCAGTCGACCAGTAGTGAAGAGGATAAAGTGATATACACTCCTGACAACAACTGTTTGATGATTGATACTTCCAACATTTTCCGCAATCGTTGAGTGAAACAGGATTTCAAATATTTGATTCTCAAACTACATAGGCACATTTTTAAACACAAGAAAAGGGTTAGTACTTAATTATTGTTGTACAAAATGAAAAAAATAAAATACTGTTGAACGATACAGTATGACCTTTCTGCGCGGAGACGTTAAGGAATCGATTTAGCCCAATTTAGATTGTTGGTCACACTTAAAATACTGAGGGTAAACCTTCAAGAGTACATAATACTATGACGTATAATACACCATTACTAACATTGAAACAAAAAATTAGTCGGAATTCCCACGGGTCCATATACATTTAGTAAAGCTTCGACTTGCAATGCTAAAAGAATTTAGTTAACAAGCTATATATAACATTGAAACTTTTACTTACGGAATGAGGTGTAACAAGCGTAACTCGTTAATATATTGTATTGTCAATTTTTATACACTCGGAACATCATCTAAATTATGAAGCTTCAATAACTTACTTCTGACTCATCGGCCGGACGCGCACCGCCACCTTTATATTCGCCATGATTGCTCCTCTTTCTAACAGTTAATTTAACCTGTATCTATCCAGTTCACAGTAGATATCATGGTAAATGTCTGGGAAGGCACATGTCAGGGAGACACGGGACTACACCATCACGCACGGACACTACTACACAAACTTATGGGAACAACTTCGTCTGCAGGCGAACTCAACTTGTTGACATAGCAGTTGTTATGTATTCAATTATTATTTCATTTCATATTACTTTTATTGTGAAACTTCTGACCCGTAATTCAACCCACTACATAATATTTTAAGTCTGATTTCTTAAATGTTTTGTAAAATAGAAAATATATATATATATATACTTTGTTCCAGCTAATAATCAAATTATATAGTAGCTAGCAACTCATTTTGCCGCCAATTTATCCGTTTTCTTTCCTACGCCGCCTTAAGCGTTTTCTTCTATGAATATTAGGGAACCCTAATATATATATATATATATATATATATATATATATATATATATATATATATATATATATATATATATATATATATATATATATATATATATATATATATATATATATATATATATATATAATAAAAAAATTTACCACCTGGCTCCATCTTAGCAACAACTGAAAATAAATTAACTTTATGGCCCATTCTGAACATAGAGTTTTTTATTCGTATTCGATGGGATTAACAGCTGGTCCTTGACTTACGCCCATGAAATATTTTTTTTCTCCATAAATACCATTTTGAAATTAAGTAGTTGAGCAGGTTTGAGAGCATGTATTAATAAAGAAGTAAATTAGCAGCAGAGAGCGTTGACTGTTTTATCAGTAAGTATAGGGTTGCCATATCTGAACATTAAAAAAAGAGGACGCTCCGGAAGACATCACCCCCCCTCCCGGCACACACAGGCTAATATACAACATACATGGTATAGAACCTTTAAAAAAAAAATTACCTTTGCTTAAGGCTAAACATCTTTATTCCCTTAGCTGCAGTCTTCTTCCCCCGCTGTGTGTGTGACTTGGTGTGCCCATGCATACTTTTCTGTAGATCGGATCTTTTTCAGTATTGGCTGATTGCTCTTTAGAAAGGTATAGAAGTCACTGCAAGGTGTTTCTCGGAAGTCGTACTGTACAGCCAGAATGCCTTTCATTGTTTCAACACTTAATTTTGTTCCTTTCCTTTGTCCATTGACTTTGCATCAGTGAAAAAACCCTTTCTACATTTGCATTGTGAGATGATATAGCAAAGAAGAATTGTGCAATTCTTAGCAATTCTGAGTGGCATTCAATGTTCTTTGATTTTTAAAAGTATCTGGTCCACTTTTTATGTGTTAGCAGATTACTAAATTCTTCATCACTCTTGTAATGTTCCACAAATTGCTTCAGGTTACTAACTTGGTCAAAACACATCAACTTCTACCCACTTATCAATCAAATATTTGACAGCTAAGTTGACAACACTGTACAGGCGTACAAGTGATTTATCAGCTGACAAAAACTGAACGAGATCTCTACGGTTTCCACCTTCTCTCTCTCTCTCTCTCGTCATTACAATTTCATGTTTTTTTTTCCGTGGAGAAAATGATGGAAGCTGAAATTCCGGACTTTTGAAGAATTTAAAAAATTCCTTCCGGATGAAGATTTCGAGACCTAAATGGAGGACATGTCCGAGAAAATACGGACGTATGGCAACCCTATATACAGGTATATAGCAGTAACTACTGTATCCCCGAGTGCTAAGAGAGTTGTGCAACGAGCTTGCCGAGCCCCTGAAAATCCTGTTTTGTAAATGCCTGGATGAACAAAAGGTCCCCAGTGATTGGAAAGTGACTTATGTGAGTCCTATCTTCAAGAAGGGCGATCGTCACTCCACGAACAACTATAGACCGGTGAGCCTGACCAGCATAATATGTAAAGTACTTGAGAGTATTATCAGAGATGCCGCGATGGAACATCTACTACGAAACAACCTTGTAAAGGATTGCCAACACGGTTTTATGCCGGGGTGCTCCTGCTTAACACAATTGCTCAAGGTATTGGATATTTGGACCCATATTCTGAAATGGGGTGGTAATATCGACAAGATTTACCTAGATTTTGCCAAGGCTTTTGACAATGTATCCCACGAAAGGCTGAAAATCAAACTGGAAGGGTACGGAATTTGGGGAAATGTCCTAGCGTGGATAGAAGACTTTCTACATGACCGCAAGCAGTGTGTGGTGATTAATGGCACGAAATCATCATCCGTACCTGTCACAAGCGGGGTACTACAGGGCAGTGTATTGGGCCCGCTGTTTGTTTGTTTCATAAATGACATGCCTGACGTACACTCCTCCACACAAATGTTTGCCGATAACGCCAAGTTATTTCGGGAAATCAAGAACCAAGCGGACTGTGAAGAGCTGCAGAAGGACCTCTGTGGGCTCCAAGAATGGTCGAAGAAATGGCTGCTGAGATTCAATGTCACAAAGTGTAAGAGGATTCACCTTGGCCGTAAAAACGGTAAGGAGGCGTATCATATGTCCCAACAGGATGAAGAAACTGCACTATTTGAGACTGAATGTGAGAAGGACCTAGGTGTGTATGTTCACAATGAGCTGAAGTTTTCGGGCCATTGCGAGAAGAAGGTAAATCAGGCAAATAAATTATTGGGTCTTATAAGAAGGTCGTTCATATATCTAGATTCTAGACGGTCCGTCCCTCGTAACGATCTTCAAGAGTGAAGTGCTTCCCCATCTGGAGTACTGTCACCCCGTCTGGTCCCCGAGATATGCTAGGGACTGTCAGTTGGTTGAAAATTACCAAAGAAGGGCCACCAGACTGGTGCCTGCATTTCGGCACCTCAACTACGCTGAGAGATTGGAGTGCCTGAACTTGCCTAGTTATACTACAGACGGGTAAGGAGCGACCTAATTGAGGTGTATAAGCATCTCAACGGGCACTTCTCTGTCGAGTGTCCTTACTTGGAGCTGGCGGACCCTCGCCCCACAAGGGGTCACAGCTCAAGATTGAAGAAGCCGCAGGTCCAGAAAACTGTGAGGGCAAACTTTTTCGGAGTGAGAGTTGTGAACTCTTGGAACAATCTAGCAGAAAGTGTTGTGACGGCACCGAGTGTGAGCTCCTTCAAGAACAGACTTGACCAACACTGGAGCAGGTTCAGGTACATTCAGGAGCCGGTGCATGCCCAGTACCTACCAACAGTGCATAACAGAGACGTGACCGATCGCCCAAGTGGCTAACGAGTCAATCATTTGGTGAAGAGGATAAAAGAAAAGGAAAAGTAACAGAGACGTGACCGATCACCCAAGTGGCTAACTAGCTGATCAGTGGCGAAGAGGATTAAAGTAAAAAGTTAAAGATAAATGGAGGATAATGTTATTTACACAGTAGCTGGAATATAGCAAGCTAACTTTGTTACATTCCAATAAAATCACAACTTATCGTGATTAATATTTTGTTTTTAGCTTCAGTGTAAAACTTACACTGTCGTGTGTCTGAATCAAAATCACAGCCATGATCGCTGATTTCAGAAGACATATGTCCAGCACCTTGCTGCTTTCTGGACTAGTTTCTGCAGGAGGCGCACAGCCACCTGTTTTAAATGCCTCCCTCTTCATGATGGCATGCTTTCTTTGTGCTGCAAGATATTCAATTTTGGAATAAGTGTATGTACACCTATCTACAAAATAGATTATTGTTATGCTACTTGGCCTGTTTTGGTACAGTACTTATTTGTATTATTGGTGTAACAAGTATAAATTTACTATTGTAAGGTAATTTTATCATTTCAGTCATCAACGGATTTGGAAGATGTTCAAAACACAAAAAAGCAAACATCAGAAAAATATAATTTCAACCTACCTAACCAAACCTAAAATAACTTAACTTAACCTAACCTAAGCAAACCTAATATAAAGTTAAAATCCTAAATTTTGATGGATGACTGAAATGATAATACCTTTCCTTTTTTAATAATAAATATTTTGTAAGCAAGTCCCCATACTTCAAAGCCCTGTACTTTTCTTAAGTGAAATCGAAATATCCGTTAGATGGAACTAAGGTTGAAAATCAATGAAAAGGGGGGTATCTAAATAAGATAATCAATGATAAACATTTATGAAAAAAATTTAATTTTGGGGATTAAAAAATGGTAAAATTATAGTTTCGGTCATCTATCTACAGGAGTATTTGAAAAAAAAAACATAAAAAACCATCAGAAAAACATAATTTCAACCTAACCTAACCTAACCAAACATAACCTAAACTTAAAATCATAAAATGAGATGATAATACCAAAATAATAATACACTGTAATTTGGTATATTATGTAATTTGTGAGCTGGGAACTAAATTAGAAGTCTCTTCCTCCCAAATAACTGAATTAAGTAAGTTGTCTCGGAGATTGTAGTCATCTGCACCCTCTTTAATCTAACCTACTTCTCAACAAAATATATTACATTTTTTTTACTTAGTACTTTATTTTAATGCACTCCCAAATCTTCTTTAACTGTTCTTCTGATCGCCAAGGCACATATCCCTCAGCATTGAAACATGTTGCTATTCGCAACCATGGTTGCTTCTTAAAAGCAACAGGCTTTTCACAAGTACTTTTATTTTGTAAACTCTTCTCCTCCCCAATCAAATGGACTAATAAATCACGTTCTCTCTGCAATATATGACTTGCCAAAAGGTGATTTGGAAGAAAAAATTTCCATGATGAGAGCGCAGTATACTCTTAATTTTAGTGCCAACGAAGGTAAACAAACACACAAGAGTAAGACAACCTATAATGCATCAGCGAAAAGACGACCATAATGCATCAGCGAAGTGGACAGTATTACCAGACCTACCCTACTTGGTCCCGCATGAAGAGGAAGAGGTTGGAGTGTTTAAAAATACCGCTTGAAAGAACAATCCCCTCGAGAAGAATCTTCTTCGGAGAGGGAAGATGGTTTAATAATACGGGCAAAAGAGTCTTGCCAGCGTGCTAACTTGAGTCTTGGGGCACATGTCGTGGGCTGCTGATTCAGGAACTCTGCTACACCTTTACCACTTGTTAGTTAGACCCAAACTGGATTATGGGTGAGAGTTGTACTCCTCAGCCACTGAGGCTAGACTCAATACAGTACACTGAAATCTACTCGTCTTACTGAGATGTGCCTGGCAACTGGTCCCATCAGGTCTTTGCCAATCCCAAGTCCACCAGTTGATACAAATGAGCTACCCCTTGATCTTCGATGATAGTATCTCCAGGTCCAATGTTGGTTTCGCCTCCACCAACTACACTTGTGTAGTTGACGAGATTGTCCCCACACTGCACTCGGCATCCAAGCCTCCTATGACCTTTGGCTTCAGGGTAAGGGAGGTTGTGAGTATTCTTTGTCTTCCTCCTGTTCAGGCATACTCCATGCAGCTCCCTAGTGTGGAACAAATTGCTTCTCTTAAGTAACAGATGTATAACAGTAATGGGGAGTATATAATATCTCCACCTTCACCAACTGTGTACCTGTTGAGGTGACTGTTACCGTGAAGATAAGTTACTTGTGAAACTGTCATATATGTAACAATCTTTCTGGGTTGTCACCACTTGTAACAATCACTTGTGAAGCACGTTACCTTATATTTTACACACACTAAAATATAGATCAAAGTTTATTGTATCTTCTGTAGTGAAATCCATTATGTTCCTTTGTTTGTATTTATTATAAAAGATTTCTATGTACACTTTCAGAAAGGATTATCACCATAATTTAACCACTGTAGCCGAGTGTTAAATGAGGACGGAGGCCACGTTAAATAGCTCTGCTAAGTACGTCCTGTCGATGATGAGATAGTGGAGTGAGAATGCGTAGGAACCCGTAGAGGGAAGAACGGAATATCCGACGTCTTCCCTCGAGGGATGACGGAACCATCCACGATGGGTCTCAATAACGTCTTCCTCTAGTCAGGGTTATCAAACTACTGCACGCAATAGGTGGCCAGAGAGCCGGTTACTTAATGCTTAACTCGGCACCAAATGACGCGACTTTCCGTGGGCACACCTTAACACATGCTACCTCTTAGCTAGTGGAAAGTTACAGAGGGTGATAGAGTACACAAGTCTAATGTAGTTAACCCATTTATATAAATACTTCTGCCGATAAGACTGGGGCTGACACAAGTGCCGCTCTATGGATTCTCCCTGAAGTTCAAGGTTGTCAGTATTTTAAAGAAAGGAAGGACTTAATCCCTCCCTGTGTGGTTCATTCTCTTTTTTTTTTTAAGCATGACTCCTCACACAGAGAACTATCCCTGTATGCAACGATGGCTCTTTGTCGGATGCAAGGATGGAGATGAGTTTTGGGATGGTCTTTCCCAAATTCTGTTTCGATGGTTGTCTCCCACTATGGCATCTACGTAATTTTACTGCAGAGCTTTTGGGTATTTTACTTGCCTTCAAGATTATTTTTACCCAACCTCATAGCGATTTTACAATTTTTAACTTTTCTCATAGTGCTCTCCAGGCCTTAGCTAGTGTCTTACTGCCCCATCCGTTAGTTATAGATATCTTATAGTGGCTGTTTCTCATCAAATGTCAGAGTCAGTTTTTGCTGGGTTCCGGTCCATGTGGGGAGAGAAGGGGAATGAACATGTTGATGCTATGGCAAAAGCAGCTGCTTCTTGCCCTGTAGCACATCATTCCTCTTTACTTGTCTCTGATATAAAGCCAATAGTAAGAGCTGTCATCTGCTGGGGTTGGCAATACAGGTGGGATGCTGTTGAAGCAAACAAGTCTTTTGATGGAGAGGGCACCCCCTCCCCATTGTAATTACTGCTTGGTCCCATTGACAGGTTTGGCACCTCCTGATGGCATGAACCACCCTCAGAGATTTTCGTCATAAGCACCTCTCCCAGTGCTTATTTGCCCAACGCTTGAACCTCTCAAACCACCCAGAACAGGCCTTAAAATCACTCACAAGAGTTACCCTGGCAGGTGTGCTATCACCCCTGCAATTTTCCCACAAAGACAAGGCTTTCTTCTTGATGATAAGGGTGGACAGGGGGGGTGCCACATGAAGTCTGGTCTTCTATCCACAGCTGGAGAAGACACTCCATGTTGTCCATCGCAGAGTCACGACTATGGGTAAGCCTACTTGCTCCAACTCGCGTGACGTTTCCTGCTGCTTGTTTGATCTCCTCAACCTGCTTGTAAATGTGGCCACCATACCAAGATCCCAACCAATCTTGGTAGGGCCATCACCACATATAAGATGCTTAGTTACCTCCAACTTTGTCTCAGGAGTCACAGCCTTTTGTGGTTTCTTCAGTGTAGTACGGGTAGCCGAAGATTCGGCAGAAAGCTTGGATGCTATAACGAAATTGAAAACGAAACAAAGGCACAAATACACACGAATAAAAAGAGATCATTTCACTCACAATGAATGGTGGAAGGATAGATGAAGGCTTGTGAAAGGGGGTGTATATAATCAGTGAGCGACAATACGTCTCTGTGCAGCTCTCCCCAAGGTGGTCATGACATGTGAAATTTGAATTTTTGCCAGGACCCAAATTTGTATGAGCAAGGAAAATTTTGCATCTCGAAATAATGGTGTCAATTTAGGAATAACAAAAAAAATTGTATCTCGAGGGATACCAGTATACTGCTGTACCATGTGTATGACACATCTTGTCCATGATGACCCACCGTGTGTATATTGGCACATTGTATGTATGTACATCGTTCAAAAGTCCCCCCCTAAAAAAATAATTGTTTTCTAGAATATAACTTTTTCTAATTTCCTCCACAAAATTTTTAGTAGTAATAAAGTCTGATCATATTTCAGACTTTATTCCTACAAATGAAACTACATGCCAATTGAAGTTAACCACCTGCTCTGCACCCAATCTCAAGAGAGTACAGCAATACCCCGATTTACGCGGTCAAATGAACCCACGGAGTAGCGCGTAAAACAAGAAACGCGTAAATGGAATAACAGAACATATGGGATTAATTGAAATAGAGACTGGGCCGACTCCCAAACGCCACTTTTTCAGACACAATACCTATGTTGTAGTAAAAATAACATCTTAATTTTATGATGGTATGCACACACAATTAATAATTAAAAGAAATATCAATAATATTAGGTTTTTTAACACTTACATTAGTAGAAAAGATGGCTGGGCACACGGGGATGGGGGGGTTGGTTCCGAGGGCCTCTATGTCAAACCCCTCAAAGTCCATATCCTCACTATCACTGATTTGGGCCGGCTGTGGTGGGTGAAGAACTCGGTAATGTTTTGATGACTAGGCAACCTTGTGCGCACCCTGCCCGCGCCGCTTCCCGCGTATATGAGTAGATGCACCGCGTTAAGTGGGCATTCCGGTTCTGGCGGGATACCGCGTAAATGTGGAAACGCGTAAACCGAGCTATTACTGTACAGGAAAAATTATACAAATTATGAACTATCCCCATAACCTAAGAAGTATATAAAATTTTCTTTTCAAATGGATAAGAAAACACTTTTTTTAATATGTATTTTATGTTGGCATGTCAGCGCATTTACAACCACTGGATTAATGTTAAGCAAAGCACAAGTAACAGTGCTTCCCAGCACGGGTCTCCACACCTATGCTTTTCATCTTCCTTGACACAGCCAACGGCATGAAGTTGATCTTAGAATTTGCCAAATGAAACTATATTTAAAAAAAATTTCAGTTAAGAGTGTAGCCAATGAAAGTGACCAAGTACACTTTCATTTATAAAATGAAGTCAAACATCAGTGATGTTTTTTGTTTAAAAAATAAGTAACAAAACTGGACAACTATTTTATATTAAAAGACAAGGAATGGAATGTGTCACACAAATAAGATATAAAGTTTAAAATACTATCACATAAACTAACCATCACAGTTCTAAAGAAAATACAACAAAAACACACTTCGACATATGGTTCATGTTCTTTGGCATTAGCTTCACCCTCAAATGCTTGCAGGAAAATGCTGGTGATAACAAATTACTAATTATATTTAATACATAATAGATGAAGTGGCTGGTGACCGTAATGTAGTCCGAGTTTAACACATCTAAGGTTTATTACTTAAAAAAAAAAAAAAAAAGTTTTACCACCTGCAATCATCTGATGCATGTGAACTTGATCATGAGGTATAAATACTACAATAAATATATTTCCTATTTACACAGATTCTTAAACCAGTCACATCCTCAAAAATCATATCTACATAATGATGAAGTTCCCAATAGGGACTCGATAAAGCTTCTTATTTAAGAGAGAAAGAAAGAAAAAGAAAAAAAAATCAATATTTGTAATAACATCATATTTGTGAATGAGTCATGGGAGGATTTGACTAGTCTTTTGACATGAATCTTTTAAAATTTCATTATATACATTTTTATATTGTTTAGTTTATTTTACAACAGATCTTACCTCTACACTATTACCACAATTACTATCCAAATTAGGAACTAGTTTACTACTTATCCATACTTAATAATACAATTTTTTTTTCCCAAAATGTGGATGTCGACCTCTTCCCATGTTCACAATTTCTGACATCATCACACTTAACATTGGACAAGCTACAGCAGCCTGAAACTTGGTAGGCTTAAAGATGAATAAAGTGATAATCCATTGCAAGCCAGAACTGCAATACAGCTGAGTTATCAAATACAAGCAGCTCATTTGATGGAGAATATTCGGTTTCCTGTTCATACTTTGTTACATGAACTCAAGAAATATCTAAACATACTGTAAGGGGGATTGCTTTTACACATATTACAAGATTTACTAAGGTATATTGTGCTTCCATTTCTGTAATGCTGATCAGGATATTATGAAAGTGACACCAGTTATATATAGTATGGCATTGTCTACTTATAGTGTATTATTGTCTACAACTTCTAAATCAGAAGCTTACAACACATTGTCAGCAATTAAATGTCTGCAACCTATAAATTATGATGCTATGTAGGTCCAGACTCTGAATGTATTAACCTACATGAAACAGTTACTTGCATTACCATTGAATGATACGATAAAAAAGCATGCCTGTGACAGACTTGTTCGATATATCATTTGCATAACACATATTTGAAATTGGTTGAATATGTCTATTACTCCTTCATTGGAATACCTGACAAATATCAACAGCATTAGATTGATCTCAACATGGAAGTACATATAATACATGTTACAAGTATCACAATATCTGACAACCTTATGGCTGTTAAATCAGAGAAATGACCACTTATGGAGTAGTGATACAATATTTCTCATGTAGTTATGAGAATTTCTGCCCCAAATAACATCCATATTAAATTTTGGCAAATGAAACTAAAATAATGGTAAAATCTCATACACAATAATCATTCCAAAGAAGCTTCCAAACCTGTATAGCAAGAACAATAATGAAAATAAATATAGGTAAACAAACAAACATACATACAATGAAAGACTCATAATACTCAGCACTGTGCTTAAAGGACTATAAGATACAGTACTGTACCTGATGGGTGATACATAAAGTCTACGTTTTCCTGACAATTATCCTTAGGTGATGGTAAATAACAATGCAAACAATAAGTAACTGAATCACTAAACCTTGGAAGTACAAGTTGATTATGTTATGAATTGTAATCACTGATGGTTTCACATGGCAATGGGTTATGTGTAAGTCTAAATCATGATAAATGAGAATCATGGTTCAGTGTTGGAAGGTCCACGGGTAAATGGTATCGGTGGCTGGCTGGTGGCTCTAGGTTGGCGATGGTCTGATGCTGAAGTGCTTCGGCCTCGACCCGTGCGATCACAATCAACCTCAGAACTGTTGGCATTATACAATTTAACATTAACTGACTAATAGTTAAGAAAGGAGTTAAAAAAGAAAAAAAAGAATGATATAACAATACCTCTTTGAATCAACAAAATCTTTACATTTCAGATATACTGTAGTATCTCGACATCTTTTGAGGGGAGGGGGGGGTTACAATAAAAGCAGGAGTGAATAAAAAATGTGCTCGAGACATCTTCGAATTTGAGCTGAAGACAAAAATCGAACACAAGTTTAAAAGAGACAGACACCACCAAAACAATATTACATTACAACATAAAGTTCAGTACTGTACTCTGTTTCATGGACATATAAACAAGACCTCCAATTGATAGTGTAATTAGAATTGCAGTGTTTCTGATATTGTATGATACTCCAAATGACAGTACACCACAGAACATGTTAGAAAGTATGGACTGTTGCCCTCATATAATATTCCTCGCATAACAGACAACTCAATAGAATGCATGTGAAAATGCCTCAGAAGTCAAGGTACCCCAACTGAAGGATGGTGGGGAGATATTAAAATTCAATTTCCATTCAGCACTGTCTGTTATAATTACCGGTTGTTGGACTCTGTTGCCCCCCCCCTCCTTCTCCACCATCCTCCCGTTGTGGTACCTTGACTATCACTGTGGCAATGACACATTATGCTTCTAAAATTACAGTACTCACAATCACTATCAATAACAATCAAATTGTCAAAACTTCAAACTCTCTAACTTAGGAACAATCTTATAGAGACTTATGTAGTTTATATGTCTTTTGAATATGCTAAAGGATGACAAGAGGCAGCATTCAGTTGTGTATACAACTGGAAGAGAAAATGAGGTAGGAGGACTCATTCGCAAATAAACTTTTTTGAGTATACTAAAGTTTTTGCTTTTAAACACTGAAAGTCATAATTCGCTTTCTCAATTTTAGTAATGAATGAAAGCCCCGACCCCCAATAGGTTTGGCTAACCTGTTTGCCACAATATACTGTAATGAGACAAGATGACTGAGAGATGGAAGATGATCAATATAAAAATTGGTTCAAATTGATTTTTTTTTAGTTTTTATTTATTGGGCACTCCCCTACATCCTTGTGTCAGGTGAAACGCAGAAGCGTTTACAGCGCCCAACAGGGAAGCATGCTAAGTTCATGCTTGCCTTTATGTCTCACGAGTTAAGGGCGTAGAAGCCTGAAGAGTCAAGGGCGTAGAAGCCTGAAGAGACAGTGGTTTATGTCATCAAGTTATTGGAAGCTCCAACAACTCCCTGAATACGAATTCGCAACTTTCGACTTACAACAGGTACCTACTTTACTGCTAGGTGAACAGGGACTAATGGGGGCTAGGGAGTAAGTCCAAACAACTTCCACCGGCCCGGGAATCAAACCCGTGACATCTCGCTTGCGAGGCAAGAACGGTACCGCTTCTATCACCGGTCCCCCGTTCAAATTGATTAAAACTACACAATTAAAAAAAAAAAATTAAATTATCGTACAGTATAATAAAAAATCTGAAGAGCTCTTGATTCTTGGAATATACAGCACAGTAAAAGTATATAGTTGCATTAAAGAGGTTTTGTTATATATGGTGGTATGAATCAGTAAAAATTGTATATATCTTTGACCTTTGCAATAAAACATTTTCATTCTATTACATATTGCAATTTATTATAGTTTCGGTATAGCATTCACAAGTACGTAAAATGTATAAGTATCTTTTAAAATACTGTACTACATAGGATGTACACTCGCCACAAAAAATTCTCGAACGCTCTAAAGGTCATACAATGACAAAACGAATGACAAATCTGAACATTGGTCTCTGAGAAAGTTTTAATGCAAATTAAATTATTTCTTTTGACCAGTAAATATTACAAAGATGAACAACATGTATTATTTCGAAATATTGGGTCATTTAACAACCAGGCATACCAACCATTCTGAGATGACATGAACCATAATAGTGCTCATTCTGAAATCTGTCATTCATATCTGTTCCGAGAACTTTTGGTGGCAGGTGTACACTCTGACTTAAGTCGTGGACAGCTGCACAGAACCTACACTAGTGACCATTGGCAATAAGGTTTTTTTTTAACTGCAATAGGGGTACTAAAGCATGTGTTATTTTGAAACTAGTATTGTATTTGATTTTGCTTCTTAAACTTATTAAACTGATTCTATTTAAAGAATATCACAGTTTTAACTTACGATTTTCCTCTTTGCCAGAGGTCACTAATGTAGGTACCATGTGCCTATCCATGATTTTAGTCCTAGAGTGTACCTACAGTAATTAAGTAAATTTTCAAATTAATTTTTTGATAAAACAAGTGTCTTACAAGGTCCTAACAAACCAAGATAAAACTAACGACTTCTAACTTTTACACACATATCTACAATACAGTAACATATACTGTACCAGTATATATTATATTAAACAAATCAATACTTACTACATGTACCTGCTAGCATGGAAAGGGAATATATAAAATGCATGTTAGACATAACAGTAAATGAAAAGTCCTTAATTAACTTATTCTTTATTGTAATTGTATTCAGTCAAATTGTGAAACACTGGAAAAGAAAAAAAAAATTATATATATATATATATATATATATATATATATATATATATATATATATATATATATATATATATATATATATATATATATATATACCCCCTGTATATAAAACTGGCAAACATGTCATTAGCTTGAGTTTCTGGCAAATAAATAAATTTTTAAACAAAAGACAAAGTGACAAGACTTATATACAGTATATCTTTTAATATCACCTAGTCACACTTTACATGCATGGATGAATAAACATATACACAATGGCAAACATACATCCACATATGCACATGGAAACAGGTACATAACTTGATTTTTAAATGATAGATTTAATTCTTCAGAGCATTTTTAGCAGTCATAATATACATCAGGTACTACAGCTGAAAAGGACCATAACTTCCTCCTTAGCCTGAATAGCAGAGAAAATGGCTCTATGCATGAAATAACAAAACTGCACACATTTACCTCAACATATACCATATGTGCAGCTGTGCCAGAAGTGCAAGTCTCTAGCTACCAAAATGCCTCGAGTATTACAGTACAGTAGACCCTTGTGATTCCCGATTTTGCCGATTCACGGTAAGCAGATGGTGGCTAGCTTGTGAGCCTTTTCCCGCAGTGCAATTAGTCACCCCACGCAACCGCAATGTCTCCTCTCCCTCTGTTTGCGCTCAACCATTGCCTGTGACGCAGCATCTCTTGTTGTACTCTCAAAACTTTAGTGTTTCTGTGTGAAATGGCCCCTAAAACACTGCCTAGTGTCAGTGCTAGTGGAGTGAAATGTAAAAGTCAGAAGTCAGTGATGACCCAGACAAAGAAAGTTGAATTATTAGATAAGTTAAGAGGGGATGAGTGCTGCCGCGGCTGGTCGGTTGTTTGGTATAGGTATACAGTAGTGCACTAAGGTAGTGTTTTGTCTATTTGCGCCATTCCTTGGAACCAAACCCCCGCAAATAACAAGGGTTTACTGTATTACTGACATGGAGATATTATAAAACTACCCAAAATATTCCTTTACGTTTTCCAAAAATTTAAACTCATGAAATAAATGACATGAAACAGATTTAATTTCTGATAAAATTTTACCAATTTAATAATACAGTAATAAATTTTGATAGTTATGTCGTCAAGGAAACACACAGTAATCCCACTGAATAACAATAACCAGACGACTTACAGAAAGATAGAAGAAACGAAGCATCATATATTAAGGCAAAGTGCTCTTATGAGAGACGAGCCTGATCTTTGTTATCAATACAGATGGCTCAAGTAGTATTCTCTATAAACATTCCAGTTACTGTTCATCTCCTCACCTTCAAAATCTATGAACACAGCAAAATCATTTGCTGAAGAATTTTACATTTTATTTTTCCTGTTGTCATAATTGTGAACCTTTCATCATTTACATGCACTATAAAATAAGAACTTGTAGAAAGGATGAAAAATATAAGAGACAAATATATGAAGAAATAGTGCAGGATTATATATGAAAAAAAAAAGAAAAAGAAAAAATGAAATGACAGTGTAAAGTTAATGCCTGTGTGGAAAAGCAATAGTGCTGAACAGTGAGGAAGAGGGTTTTCCTTTCTCTTGTCCTAGAATAATGTTTTTATGGACAGCCAAAGCCAAACACACACTATTTACTAATATTAATTTTAAAAAAATATGCAAAAATGTATCTAATTACAAACACTGTACATAAGTACTGTATCTATAGCACTCAAAATATGTTCCCGAATGTAATAAAAAAATCTTGAGGCAGCTGTCTGGAAACTTATACTCTGTGTACATCTTAACATTTCCCTACCTGTACAGTTCCAAGACATATTACATGAAGTTACATAAACAACTTAAAGACAGCTTTACCAATGAGAGTATAAAACAAAAATAATTAATATTCCAAATCAACTCGACTAACAAAACTGGGGTTCACAGGGTAATGTTTTGGGTATTTTCTAAAGTGCTAATCAGTGCTAATCTATATTTTTTTATAATAAACTGATTCTGTGCACAATGGTGATTGAAACTGTATAATTCTCTAAGTACCCTAAATTACTTATTATTAATTTATGCTCAAACATTACCAGTTTCCACTGAAGTGCTGAAACACGAGTACTAATATTTTTTTTTCAAATACTGTATGACAAACTATAGAAAACTCCATAAAAAATATCCTGTACAGTGTATGCAAATACATTTATTCCTTAATTCTCTTTAAGTAGTGCAATAAACTCATGCTGAAGAGTGCTAAGAAGTCTAACAAGGCACAATTGCAATCACATAATTAGGTATGTAGGCTTTACATTGTTTAGAAAAATATCATATTTCACTTCTGACAAAAGAATTAGTAGTACAATAGTTAAAACAGTTAAAAACACTGTACTCTGCTTTTATTGGAGAATGTTTCAATAAACAAGTACAAAATTTCATTTGAGGGAACTCAATAACAATATGTCCATCAAACAATACATATACAGTAGTTGAAAGTCAATAGCAAAAGAAATTTTCTCTGGCAAATTTTGCTACCAAATGTATGGCTCTAATAATGCTCTAAAGTCAGAACCATCCCATGATGCCTATCATGAATATGTATCACCTCAAAACACCATTTAATGATATGTGAATATTTGTAAATATATGAAGCACAACTACAGGTAAAAAAATATTCTTGTAATTACATGCAGTTCAAGTATATAAATATAGATACTGTATTCAACTGTTCACTGACATATTTGAGGATTTTGGTTTGGACCTATTAGCACCTAACAATTACTAAACATGAGGCACACATTCTTGATGAGTATCATCTTCAATGTCAAGTCAATCAACAAGGTTAACAACAACAAATTCCATTACTGTATTTGAAATTAAATACTCATATTATTAAACATAAGAAGCTGATACCTAAAACAATGTATTTTTATACAGCCCTCCTTGTGCATGTTTTGCTTTCCATGATAATGATTCTTACACATATTGGTATGTATATGGTAATGTAATAGCTCTTCCAAAAGTCTTTGAATGCTGACCCTTGGAGGGCAACTGAGCATGCTTATCTGGTGTATTTTTGCCTCTGGGATATCAGTCCAATGGTGTATATCTAACATATCCTTAGGCCAAGACATCTGCATGCAATAATTTACCACTATCATTTTGAATTAATAGTAGATCTTTCAGTAAAGAAAACAAAAAACACAAATCATGGATTGATACCAATTATTTTTACTATCTAAGATAAGGACAAAATTTCTGATCAAGCATTACAAACACAATACTGTTCTTGATTTATGTATACACTGATAGAAATAAAGGTACCTGCAGCAATTCAAAGCAAGGAGGGAATGATGGAATAAGTGCACTAAGAAAACCTCATTTTGATTAGGAATATATATATATATATATATATATATATATATATATATATATATATATATATATATATATATATATATATATATATATATATATATATATATATTAAAAGGGCATAAAAAGAGGAAGACATTGAAATGTCATATTTCAAATATTCAATTTTCATATTGTTGGAATTTGCAAGATGTGCAAACTTTCCAAAACAAAAGTTTCAGCACTTTTAACTAAAAAAAATATATCAAGTGGAAGTTTTTAGAGAAAATATATGAAACCTTCCTATATGCAGCAAAGAAAAGTAATATTCAGCTAAATTGTTTTGCAACATCTGCAACATTCTAGCTGAATGTCTTATCTCCTAATACTTAGTGCCAGCAGATAATTTACAAACTTTTTACCAAGATCTTAAAAAGGTTAATTAGAGATGGAATTCAAAATGAGTGGATAGTTTAGATTCTGAGTGCAAAGTGAAGCAGGTGAAGGTTTGGGTATGTGGTAGGCACAGTGACCAGCATCAAGACAGAGCAGAGGGTGAGAGAACCAAGCACAACATCAACATAAGATGGACACTTTACCTTGCCCAGCCGGAAGCTTGTGAGTGAGATGACACTTGTCAGATTTAGCTGAACCACAGTTTAAGGCAATAAAGCTATATTTAATATATGATTCTAATGAAATTTTTAGTTACTATAGAGGTAGACCAATATGAACATGAACATCCAGGTATTGTGATCCTCTGGGTAAGGCTCTACATCTCTTTCAAGAGAAAATCTTAATCTCATGCCTTATTCAACAGGGACAAAACTTCTGCTTTTAATAGAGAATACGTAAGTTACTACAGGAATTTATTGATCTAGTGAAAAGAATGACGCAAAAATTAAAAAGGCTGAAGTAAAATAACACCGAGATGTTCTCAGGCTGCAAGACTAAATAGTCACACAGATATAAGACTGCAATGCTGGATAAACTTAAAGAATAACATCATATTTCAATAATTGAAATAAAATAATAATAATAAAAAAGTATAAAATTAATGAATAAAAACAAATATTGCACAAATAAATACTGCAAATACACACAGCTGAACCTTGGTTTACTATTTATTTTATTTTATTCTTTGGAGAGAGAGAATTTGACATGGTACATTTTGAGGGACTGTACTGTACATATTTTCCATTAGGACAATTAAATATAATATTGTAGTTAGATTGCAGCAGTTATGACCTGATTTAGTTTCCACCTTGGAACTTTCAAAGAAGGAATTCCATTTTACAAATAATTTCATGCTTTCTCATGTCTGATACCTAAACATTAAAAAGATCTTGTAATGATTTTAAATGTCTCCTTTTATATCGAAAACCTTCATCAAGAAAATGCAACAACACCGAATCTGATGATTTAGTGGATATAACTGATGAGCTTGTGATATAAGAGGAGAAATGACAAAATAAGCATTTAGCCAACAAAGAGAGATATTCAAGACATGAACATTAGAAAAACAAAACCCATACAGTACTGTACTCAGTTTAGCTATAGGAGGTATACATTATTTTGTTTCTACTCTTTCAAGCCTTTTCCAGTTTAATGCAGGGTGGCCAGAAGCAAAATTAAATATACTGTATAAACATAAAAAATTAATCTCAATCGATCTCGTTTACTACTATAAAAAAAAAAAAAAAAAAAATCTGCCATGGTGATCTTCTACAACAAGGCCCCAAATCTAGTATACCTGTAATTTCACACAAACCAACATGTCCACCAAAAGCCCGATAAATGTGATTTGTGCCTGACTGCATTTTTGAGACTATGAGTGAATGCAGGTGACAGTTTTTAAACATTTACTTTGTGTAAGATGTATCTGAAAATAAAACTCTGGCCAAATATGCCTGTACCTGGCTGCTAGGAATGATCTGGCCCTAGCTATGACTGCATTATACTCTTCAGTATTCATTCTTTCAACATGTCCACACCAGCTGAGAAGACCCTAAACTGCTCTCTGTCAAACACTTCTTTTTTTCCTATCTTATTTCTGTAATTTTTGTTCTCTGCATCCTTCTCACCCTCATGTATTATACTCTTAAACATCACCACTTTTGCTGCTTCTAATCTGCTTCTTCATCTTATATCTAGTCCATTTTTTACAACCATTTAATAATGTCAACTCTATGACTCTTTCAGGCATCTCAAGTTTTGTGTCTTTTGATAAGATTCTCACCTTACAGTTCTGAATCAACCTACAGTATATTCCTTTCCCTCCATTACTCAATACAGTATTCAACACTCATTATTCCACCCACTAACACAATACTCAATCAGTTATTTGTGACCAAGTGTTCATTCACAATCACAGATAACCCAGACTTAAAACTACAGTATCTCAGTAAACCCTGACAGTGGGTACAGCCACTGAAGCTCACCAACACCATCATTGACTGGCCTACCACCTTTCATGTCCCAACACAGTATCAATCAATTACAGTATACAGTACCTGTACTGTATTATATATCTCTTTGAAGCACACACACACACACACTGATGCATCTTGTGATGTGCTGGCATATGAACCACAAATGTAAACACCACTATGGTTAACTTTGTGTCATAATCATGGATAAGAGGGAAATGGTAAAATTAATAAACCATAATTAATTATTTTCATGGTAGAATAAATCTTGAATACTGTAACTGCTTGCATGAGTTCTATACACAAGACATACACTGTATTGTGTAAAGTTTTGTTTCATCTCCATCTAAAAAACTCACCCATTGTCCTATTCACATTGTCCAATTATCTATAATTATAAGTTACGGTTTTCTATTTTTTTTTTTAACATAATGAGTGTACATCTCTCAATAACTTTTCTATCCAGTAATTAGATCTAGTCTAATGTATAAATAGCAATACCGGTATTCATCGTCTCAACTTGTGGTAAAATGTTGGGTGCTACTATAGTGTGCGGTCTACAAAGATATCTTTAGTCTAACCTAACCTAAACATATTGTAGACCACATGCTATAGTAGCACCAAATTCTTTGTCACCAATCCTTTTTTTTCTCTGGAATATTCACACTACTGTATCTTCAAATTTCCTTCTCATCACTTTCTAATATTGTACAGGTATTTAAAAATAATGCTGTGTTATTCACTATAGTTTCCTTTCCAGTTACAATATGCTGAATTTTCTATTTGTTTTGTAAAATTTATTTTCCACTTAGAAAACAGCAAGGATCTTGCAAAATCTCTTATCCAAACCTTTCAAGAAATCATAATTAAGTAAACATATAAAAACAAATTTTCTTTCATTAAGTGAATTAGTCAGTAACAATGTGAGATACAAAACTGCTAACACAGCTAATGATTTATCTATCTTGACCCAATATACAGTACCGCACCCTAGTACAGTACCAAGTATACTGTACTATCAAGTAGGTCTCCTCATGACATTTTTGTCCTTCTATAAGTTTACATACAGTACTATTCCATATTAACACCCCTCTCATCCTCTTTTTGTAACACACGTGTCTCTTTTTACAGTAAATATTAAACATTGTGTAAATAATGTACAGTATGTTGTTTCTTGGTAAATAATATTTTACCAATAGTCTCACTGTTTCAATATTAGCAAGTATAATGAGGCAGCATAAAGCTATTCGTACAGCAATCTAACTGGGGACTCTTTAAGTTACAGTACTGTACTGTAGTTATATTAACATAAGAATTAAGGTGCATGAAAGGGAGGAAATTATGCTTAACCAAATTATTCTAAGAGTTGTTTGATCTCTGCCTTTTCTTTAATATCTTGATATCCTTGTTGAAAATACAATATATATATATATATATATATATATATATATATATATATATATATATATATATATATATATATATATATATATATATATATATATATATATATATATATATATTGTATTTTCAACAAGGATATCAACACACGTTATAATACAGACATGTAATGATCACCCGATCCTTAGTACTGTATTAAGGAGTAGGCCAAGGCTCTTGCCCACAGCTAAGTCCATAACAACACTAGTTCAGAATTAATTATCCAAAATCAAGAGAGAATAAAGATATATCTATACAGTGCTACTTGTTCTGGTTACCGAGTTAAAAAAGTCAGATGCACATACATTCACACAAGCAGATTCCACAAATTCTATATCTCCTTTGGCAGAATGGTAGAAGAAAACTTAATAATTTTAAGTGTACAGTACCTACATATCTAGTTTGGTTATAATCCTTTGGCAATTTGTAAAGTTAATGTGTTCACAAAGTCATACACAGTAAAGAAACCAATTATTTCTATGGTCCCCTCTTGCAGTCAATTGGGGAACAATAATACAAATAGCTTTAACAATAATCAATATTGTTACATACATTACTATTACTCCTTCCATAACCACTGTCAGAGTGATAAAGTAAGCTTCAGGTTCCACTGTATGCATGCTTATGTGTGTGCGCATCTTGCATGATTGTGAAGAGCAGTAAATCAAAATACTGTATGATCAAAAGCCAGAGCAAAATAAGAGAAATCATAAATACTATCTCCTATAGTGCAGTCCTATGAAAAGTAACTTTTGCTCAGTTGATTCAAGCCAGACAACCCTGTCAGCCATAACTAACAATAATATATATATATATATATATATATATATATATATATATATATATATATATATATATATATATATATATATATATATATATATATATATATATATATATATATATATATATATATATATACACACACATACCCTGTATATTAGAAAACAACATACACGCTTCAAATACAGTCTATACAAATGGAACTCACCTAACAGTTGGTCCGAGTCCATCGTCAATAGAAGCTGCCCGTGAGAGGCTTGACCCCGTTAAAGTTGGGCGAGCCGAGCGATCTGTTTGGGTAGCTGCATTAACTATATTTTGTGGGTCCTTAGTTTCTTGAGAGGTACAAGTTGGGTTCTGGTTTCCTATAGACTGTGCAAGTTGCTGTTGTAAAAGCCGTATGGTTCGATCACGTTCATCTAGTTGCTGTTGCAAAAGCACCACCTAGAAAAAAAAAAAAAGTTTGAGTTCTGATGAAACATCCCAGACTGGCAACCAAATTTATGAAAGTTGCAAGAGATAGGGACCCAATATTAGAGGCAAGCAGCCATGTTAGACTTGATATTTGGCTTTGAAACATCACAAGATGATCTATTGCGAGTGTTTTAGATTCCAAGTATTGAAAAAATTTGTCAAATTCATTAGAATGATTACATTAACCAAAATATGTAAGCAATTGCATTTATTATCCAGAAAACAAAGAGGAAAGTAACGAGACTTACAACAGGCATGCTGGATAACCCATGCTATAGAGTACAATAATAAGTTTTTTAAAGTACAGGTTGTACCACTCTAGTCCGGCAACCTCGGGACCTGACCAGTGCCGGACCATGGAAATTGCTGGACCATGGAAATTCACCCTTTTCCTGGATAGATAGTGACTTGTGCTTATGCTTGGAAGCACTAGCAACACTTTCTCTGCATCATGGTCTCTTTGAAGGGTTAAATGTCGTATAGTGGCTTCTCAAATTTCGCGAGTTTTTAATTCTTAACGTATTTTATTGGAAAACAAAAAAATAAATAAATAAAAATTTTGACGGCGGAAACTTGAATTTCGACGGGTTTGAACGGCGCGCCAACGTGCATAATCGTGTAAACAGCGTCATTTCTCTTATGTACAAAAGATTCATTATTGTTTATTACTGAATGTCTTTTTTATTGAATTAATGTTTGTGTGTGCAAAATGAGCAATAAAATTCATAAATAATACGTTGAATATTAAAACACACGAGGAAATGACACAGCATTGTTTTCGTTGATTACAAAACCAGTGACTGACTGGTTCTACATATAAAACTGAAGAAAATAAGACCTTGGTTGTAGCTGTAGTAAAATTAATATGGATGTTTTAAGTAATGTTATTTAACGTTAATAAATGGAACAATAGAAGTAGCTAATGATAATGGTAAAGAAAAAAGAGAGATCGCGTATGTAAGTGCGCATGCGCACACGTGAAAACATATCGTCATTACTTTACATAAGAATATATATGAGAGAGAGAGAGAGAGAGAGAGAGAGAGAGAGAGAGAGAGAGAGAGAGAGAGAGAGAGAGAGAGAGAGAGAGAGAGAGAGAGAGAGAGAGAGAGAGAGAGAGAGAGAGAGAGAGAGAGAGAGAGAGAGAGAGAGAGAGAGAGAGAGAGAGAGAGAGAGAGAGAGAGAGAGCAGCCGAACTGCCGGATGTAAACAAACCTTAATTTCCTGCGACTTTTTATTTTTATTAAGGGGATTAGCCCACCCGGGAATAGGTCACTGACCCACATTAGGGCCTGAGGGGCAAAAATTTAATGATCCTGTAATAATAATAATAATTCAGATAAGTAAAAAAAAAGAAAAGAAAAAAGCTGCCTATCTACCTATTGGACAAACTAAAATCGTTCCGGACCACAGAATGCCGGACTAGAGAGGTACAACCTGTATTAGAAACTGCACAATACCGTATTGTATTATTTTTCTAAAGAGACTGAAGATCCCACTTTTCACAAGGGAAATACAGAGTAGACAGTATAAGATGAGAGGAACTAACCTGTCTCCTGAGGTCAACATTTTCTTGAGATACTTCTGTGTTTGATGGTGTAAGTGAATCTTTATCACCATTGATGCCAGTCCCTCCTGGCAAGTCACTACTGGCCAGGCTCAGGTACAAGGAATTCTGAAAATAAAACATTGTATTGTACAAAAGCACTTCACTGTTTATCTGTCATGCTTGGACTGATATTTTATGGTACATTATAGGTATTGGGAATGCATACTGTGAATGAAAACAGTCAGACAATACAGTTTAGACACACACTACAAATAAATGTTAATACTACCTGTACTACAGTTTCTCATAAAAAAATAAAATAATGGAGGTACAGTATTATACAGCAAGTAAGAGACAATAGGATGAAACTAACATGAAAAATTATTATAGTTTTGCAGTTACACCATAAACTGAAGTTGAAGCTAACAAAATAAAAACATCAAGAATAAAGGATAGATCATATAAAACAATGAGGACTTTCATGGATCATTAATTTTGTTTTTATAAAGAAAGATACGAAACATTTGCGATGATTCATATCTGGACTGCAAGTTTGTTGGGTGGATGGAATAAATGCTCTCAAAACTTCAAGACACAGAGAACCGAAGAAGAATGAGACTGATTACTATAGCAATACAGTAATTCGATAATTCTACACCGAAGAGCGATATAAAATTCTATTAAATTTTTGGAACTTTGACATATTCTGTACAGTACTACTGTAATAAAGTATGATAATACAGGGTACTTGAAAACAAAAAGCTATGTACAGTACAGTATATGTAAATAGTCTTATATCTAATAATTTTGACATTTATTGGATAAAACTCTATACATATACTGTATCTGGAATAATTATCATTCATGTACAGTACAGGCAATATCTATACTGGACAGCATTTTCATTCCAAAATTCACCTATAATGAATTCCATGCACACAACCAAAAATATGCTCCACCTACCCTCAAGTTGGCATCAAAGGGGTTCATGGTTTCTGCTGCTTGTAAGACTCTTCTGAGACGCAACAACATTGTTTTTAGAGCAGTAACATCCTGGCACATATAATGATATGTGGTACGGTCTAGACAGACCCCACCTCCCTCTACCTCCAGTGCACCACCCTACACAGAACAAAATATTGCATGTTATTATTCATGGTCTCGTAAATTTCTGAAAATCATTAGCTTTTCAAAAATTCAAATCAGTACAGGGTACACACATTCTCTCATGTAAACCTAATAAGATTTAGAAATGCTAGGAAAAAATACTGTACATTTTAATCACAGAGCCACAATTACTGTACTATAATTAATGCATTCACTACAGTATTTTGTCCTAGTCCATTAATACATTTGAATATTCATTAAGTTTCTCAAGTGATTTTAATAAGAACCAACTGTCACTAATGTGATGAGTATTAAGAAAGCAACACTGCATATACAGCACACTTCATGAACAAAAGAATAACTTATATCCCTTCCTGATGCATGACTCTGTTAGTAATAATGAAGTATTCTACAGTATACCGGACAAAGTTTGGTTCACAACTTGTTATCATTATAAGATTTGGGGGATTTACAATTCTAAATATGAACTTGTACATACTGTACAGTACATACTGAAGATATGAGAAAAATTTGCAATATAGTTAGCACTCACCTGTCGAGGTGGTCTCAGCACTGTGGGTCTTCTGGGATCTGGTGAAGCAACCTCTGATGAACTGCCCAGCCTGGGGCGAGATGTGCGCCCACCACAACTGCTGCCATCTCGTGATACACATCTGAAGTGGACAATATAAAAATTTTACCAATGGTGATCAACTATAATATGAAAAGTACAGCACCCTATTAAAAGAAATGGTCACTCCCATTTTCCCAATCTAATGTTTTATTAATTAAACAAAGTTATTAGAATTTTATAAAGATGATTTAACATTTTTATGTTGTAACCTGCTAAATAAAAATTGTTGATGGAGATAGAGAGTACAGTACTGCACTGTATATGACGACCAACTTACATAATGTACAGTACAGGGGTCCCCGACTTACAAATGGGGTTAAACTTGAAATTTACAGGACTGTACAGTATTTTATTGACCTGATGACTTAGTTTTTATCTTCATTTACTGTAATTTGTAATTTTATTTTCTTTTGTCTTCAATTAAGAGATTTTAGATGTAAATAAGGATTTAGGCTATGATATAAGTACAGTATGCACATAGCATGTGTTCCAACTTGCGTACAAATCCGACTTAAGACGTCCTCAGGAACTGAACCCGTTCGTAACCCGGGGATCCACTGTACAGTATACAATAGTCATCTAGGTCAGTGCAAAACTACCAGGTAATGTACTTTACATTTTCTTTTTTCATCTTTTCCTGGGCTGGAATTATATTCTTTTAACAAACACAAAAATATAATACTGTAGTATGTAAGCATGTACCGTACATTAAAGGAACTGCTATCCAGTCCAATGTACAGTACAGTACTGTACACCAAAAGTAACTACTGTATGTCCTACACTACATTCCACTTGAGAAATTAAACTTATTACTTTTATTTGCTTATTGATTTTCTGACAGAATTATATATACAGTAAAATATACTTCTTTATAATACGATATTCTGCATCCAATGGAACAAAACACTAAAAATCAATTGATAAGAAATCCTGCTATACTATGGCTGCCAGTAAAGTAACTACACTGCTCACCATGATCCAATTTCAATAATCAGAGTCAAATCAACAAAATTGGAATCATCTCGTTATTTCAATAGATGATTAATTTGTTACTTACCAATGTATAATGCAATTAATCTCCATGAAACTGTCAGAAAATTAGATACGGTAAAATTTTGATTTCCGTCATCTGTGTACAGTATTTAGATATCCAATCCAACCTAACCTAATCTAGCCACAGAACCCAGGAACTATATCTAACCTAACCGGGGGGGCATAGCAAGACACCTCCTTTCTGGAGGGGTTAAATTCCTAAGATTCCCTGTATGACCGAAACTATAATAATGTGTATGCATATTCACTTACCAGCATCAAGGGAATATAACCACAGGCTATGTTATTTGTCAACTTCACTAATTAATCATGATACCCAACAGAAAATCAAACACTGTTATGCTTGAAATTATTTCAGTGGAGGAGTACAGTACTGTATAATTTGTCGACAAAAAACATTTGACTTACATATACGTACAGTGCTTGATTAATTCGTTCGGAAATCGCATTTAATTTAAAACTAGAAAGGCACTCATTTATCTACATTACAGCATTAATACTAGTGTACATATATTTTTCTCACCTGACAATGAACATATACTGTTATAAATTTTATACAGAAACACCTACAATAAATATACCAATCAAACAATGACCAGTCTATTTCAAATGCACATTATGTGATGACTTATTACAGTGACACATTACCCACACTATCAACTCACATGATAAGAACAGAAGAACAGTACCGGTAATACATATCCACTAGACCAACAATCATAGTCTAAGGGCTCATCATGGTCGCTCCGGCAGATATTACCAATAATAACAAAAACAAAGACAATAAATTTATAATAATTTTGCTGTTCAAGTCCTATTACCACGAATAAAAAATTGTACTTTATAGACCAATTGTATTGAAAACCAATACACAGCTGTCCACAACAGTGTTGATGAAGTGTTTAATATTCCCCATAGAGGGCGAGTCCGTATAAGAGGCCATATATAGAGACTAGTAAAGGGAAGAAAGTAGTCGTCACAAGCTGTTCTTGGTGCTATGGCGACTAGACTTATATGAAAGTTTATAGAAGTGTTCCATGATAATTTCCGCCAATTTTTTTTATTAGTTTATAGAAGTGTTCCATGATAATTTCCACCAAAAAATCGCATCAAATTTTTTTAACGTTCCCACTGCACAATACAGAAGTATCTTGCGTTTTAATTTGCAATATGTAACAGTAAGTAAAAAGCTTTGCTGTAGTGACAAATTATACATTCACTTGCTTTGTATCAATCATCGAGCACCTCTTTTATAGAAAACACAAGAGTACCACACCAGAAATCCAGCATGCGGCTAAAACTCGTTTAAATAACTTGCAATGATTTAATTTTCTTCAGCAATCACAGATCAAGACATTATTTGTTCTGAATCAGTTCAAAATTGTACCACCACGCAAACCACATTTGATGAACCCCTGAAACCCGCACTGGTCTTTAATGTTCACATATCAAAGCGTTCACAACAGTCCACCAATCAAACAAGATCACGTGAGGATTGCGAGGGGGGGTCAACAGAATGTCTACAGGAGCCAAGATAACAGCGTCAGACTCCACCACACACTCCCAACTTGACTACAATGGCCTGGGCCCACCACTCCCTGCCACCCTCACCCCCTACACGCCCCTAACGCACACTTGTTTCCCACACAGGACCATGTTTTTCTGGTTATTCTGGTCCCGGCCGGAAGTTCCAGTCTCAAGACACACTAAGCTCATAATCTTGATACAGGACACCCCAGGAATGTCCTCATAAATCTCACACCATCAGTGACACAAAACCCAGGTCACTCAACTAGAATCAAGATCCACGAGGTTATTTCAATCCATTTTCAAAATACGAAAACCAAAATACGATATAAATATTTATCTTTGTACATAGGTAAACCTAAGGTGTAAAAAAGAATCAGGAACAATGACATTAACAAAAGAACTTATCACGGGAAGATCAAGATAAAATTGAGCAGGTGTGTGTGTGAGGGAGAAATGCGGGAGTTCGCGCAGTAATTTCACCTACCGGTACCATTTTACCACCGTCCTAAGTCCTTATACGGGACTAGCTAATTTCTTTTCATATTGGTTTGGGCGGGTAGCACCTATCTGGCCGCCGAAGGTAATTCATCAACCTTCTCTTGGGTATCAATGCCCTCTAATTTCTAACATGAGTACCCGGTATGGTTAATTAAATTTTAATGATCACTTGGTGAAAAACACTTTCGTTTCCCCCACACAACTCGGTGAGCCTTAACTTTGTGAAAGTCCAATTAAACTAAGCAGAGTCACAATTACGCGTACTTAAAAGGAATGAAAGAGAGGCAACTCACGAGTCTCATTATTTCACGCCACTAAAACTGGAATGAATAAAACAAGGTAGCCTTGTTGAAAGCTCAACCACGTTCATTTTCACGAGCTAATGATTGCACGAACTAACGCAGTCAATTTTCATCCTCGTTCTTAAAACTACCTGGAAACACACAAGAATTTACCTGAGAATACAATTCCCATTACCATAAAAAAAAATTAGTCACCATCTTAGCAAGTCGATGATTACCACGTGTGACAACGTGATAAGCAAGAGGCGGCGTTGCGTCAGAGGCAGGCACAGTAAACCACTCGCTACCAAAAACTACTTAATACAGTACACGCGGGGTTGGCTAACTATGACCCCCCCCTCACACGCACACACACTTACAGTACACAATTCAATCCATTATTCATTCACACCATACGTACTATCAAACTGCCATCAATTTCTCATTTTCAACCCTGACATAACTATACACAACTAAATAAAATATCACAAATCGTTACAACAGTAGTACACAAATTCTTTTAATTCCACTCAATAGATGAAAATCCTATGGAACGGAACTGCACACAATAATACGTCAAGTGTGGAACGCGATAATCATTTCCAAACAATCAAGTCTAACAGGAATTTGGCGAAAAGTTTATTCAGAATACAGTACTGTATATATTTCACTGAGCTCATTATATTCTTCTAGGTAGCAGTTACTAATTCATATCACTGGAACACTGCGTTATTTCAAAACAAAACAGGTTAACGTAATTATATCGAAAGTAATCATCGGTGGTTGAATTAGGTTAAGTTCTTACCCAAAACGTTAACCATCTACCATACAAGGTGGTTAACGTCACTATGTTGGGACGTTATAAAGATAAGGTTGAAAATACCAATAAAAACAAGGAAATTTTGTCTCTAGCTCCAAGTCGTTGATGTTCTGATATCGTAACGTTAACTTTCAGCAACAAATATTGTACAGAAACAAGCTGCTTTACCATTGAGACAAACAATAAGACTGACAATTTACCCAGAAGGCAACAGCGTCAGGAACCCAACCAATAACACCCCCCCTTTTTTCCTGTAAAATAATAAACGAAGAACAAATGAATGAAATAAAGTGAATTTAGTAAACGAAAACTAATTAAAATGAACCAAGAACAAACACAAACCTATGAAGTACACTTATACATATTCACATGACACGCATATACTGCAGTACCTCCATCACCCCTTCTGCTGTGTGTGCATGTATTCAAGTGTAGGGGTGATAGCGTGGACTATAGAGTGTACCAGCAGCAACAGTGTGGCAGAATGTTACTCCCACAACACGCTTCATAATATACACCGTCACACATCCCCGCTGCAATACATTCATCATACCATTCCTCACCGATGATAGTCGTGATTCCCATTCTACTGTATATAATTATGCAGCGGTGAATCTGATACAAACTGATATCAAGTTTATGTGACGTTGCTGTAACATCTTGATCTAACAACGCCCATTGTTACCCCGACCTACGAAGTTATTGGCTATTAATCTATAAGAATCACCTAAAGATTAGACAACCCAACTTATTTCGCCTGACGATTAAAATCTCTATCGCTAACCTAAAGTGTTATTCAAGTCAAATAACCTGGGCTGTCTAATCTTCATTGTGGTCCAACTGGTCCACCTACAATTT